GCGTTCTTTCCTTTGTAGTGTCACTGTTACTGTTTGTTTGTGTATGCATCACGTGCTACTAATGCTGATATGCGTTTGTAATGTATACGTATTTATGTAAGTATGAATCTGTATGTAATAAATAATTTATGACGTGAGATTTGTATTCAGCACAACATGAAAATTTATTTTTAAAAAAAAAATTATTTTAAAATAAATATAAAAAAAAAACCTATGGCCACAGGGGGGATCGAACCCACGACCTTCGCGTTATTAGCACGACGCTCTAACCAACTGAGCTATGCGGCCAGATGGATGAATTAGTATTTTACATTTCTAAGAGCTATAGTATTGAGTAATATTTTGTATATTAAAAACTACAAAAACTATTTTTAGACAGATGTTTTCTCGAATAAACAATACCATCTGATAACAAATTTAGGAATGGAAGTAAATTTGAAGATAGTGTTAATAATTTTAACAATAAACTTAGACATATTTTCATTTCTATTGGTAATGGCTTACAACTGGTGCACGAATTTAACTTTTTCTGTTGATCAATGCGAAATATTTTTAAAAAATATGTAACTTTATCTGCAATACAGTATAGCAAGTTTTTTTTTTATTTATTTTTTTTTTTAAGACATACAGTCCTTAAGGCTATTTTTTGGTCACAAATAACTAGTTAAGAAAAGATCGGCCTCTGCTCCCCCATTATCTTTCGGAAAGGTACATGTCATACACACTCTCAACCCAACCCATTTTGTAAACAAAACGAAATCCTTCTTGCCATTAGGCCATGAATCACTGTCACGTACCGCATCTACTCACCTCTACCCTTGAAAAAGTCTTAATCAAAACGGAGGACGCATATATAGCACTATAATTAAACCGCAACACACTCTCTCTCTCTCTCTCTCTCTCTCTCTCTCTCTCTCTCTCTCTCTCTCTCTCTCTCTCTCTCTCTCTCTCTCTCTCGTACATCTTACTGTATAGCATTGTTTGCACGTTCCTGAAATAAAATATCTTTCATGCAGGACAAATAATATCCTTTGTTCTGTATTTTTTTTTTTTTTTTTTAGTTTTTTTTTGTGTGTTACTCTCAAACTTTATATATGAAGACCCAGCTATTGTCGTCCAATATATGTCTATATGATTAATACTCATGCACCTGTAAAATAGAGCAATGTCCTATTACGATCGTATCTTTTCATTATATTAGTTATCTGTGGTTTAAGTTAGATATACTTAAAAATTCTCAAATTGACATGACAAAAACAGTCGTATCCCATTGAGTCTTTTGAAAGTTTTTGAACAAGAAGGACACAACAGTCCTTACGTTTGTAAGCAGGTCTTGTATTTATAATACATCAATTTTAAGCAGAACACAAAAAGACATTAACTTTGCATCTTTAAATTGAACACGTTTTAAATTTGGGTACTGGGCTTTAGGAAATATCTGTCAACACGTTGTCACTGGGGTTTGTATTTAAGATTCATCAAAGTGTGAAATTTGGGCACTGGGCTTGAGGAAATATCTGTCAACACGTAGTCACTGGGGTTTGTATTTATGATACATCAAAGAGTTAAATGGCAGAGACAGACCTTAAGCTTGAATACTTTACTTTGTATTTAAGATATATCAAAGTGTTCAAATAGATCACAGTACAGGTCAGAAGTTCCGAGTTTTAAACGGGGGCTTGTATTTAGGATACATCAGAGTGCTAAAAAGAACACAGAGGCCCTGAGCTTGAATACTGGACTTTACGTTTAGGATACATCCAAGTGCTAAATAGATCACATAGGTCCTCAGTTTTACACAGGGGTTTGTATTTAGGATACATCAAAGTGCTAAATAGATCACATAAGTCCTCAGTTTTACACGGGTTTTGTATTTAGGATACATCAGAGTGCTACATAGAACACAGAGGCCCTGAGCTTTACATAGGAATTCGTATTTAGGATACATGAAAGTGCTGAGCTTTACACAGGGGTTCGTATTTAGGATACATCAGTGCTAAATAGAAACAAAAGGTCTAAAGGTTGTCATCGTGGCTTTGTGTTGATGATACATTAAATTATTTATCTAAACTGAAAACTTAAGGTTTTACACATCGGGGCTGTACTTAGAATACATTAAAATGCTATTTAGGACACAAGGGTCTAATGTTTGTACACGGAGTTTGTACTCTGCATACATTACAGGTGTGCAATAGTACATAACGGCCTTAAGTTTTACACCAGGATTGGTACATATGATACATTATAGCTTGATTCAAGACAGAAAGGCCTCAAGTTTTTTTTTTTTTTTTTTTGTCTTGCTGCGTTGTTTGTACTTAGGATACAATAGACTGGTAAAAGGGCCACCCATTCATTAACTTTATATACGCGCGTGTTTGCAATTAAGACACATTACAGCTTCCCCTGCTGTTGTGGATTTAATACCTTATTTTCAACAAACAATATTTTATCCACGGCTGCTAGGAAAATTGCTGGAAGCAGAAGCCGCGAAGACCCGGTAAGAACTGACTACCCGCACTGCTAGCTTTCTCACATATCAACATTTGCCGCGTATAGAGGTGAGATGGCAGTGATCTCTAAAGGCTAGATCACCCGACCAAACGAGGCACCCGATACATTACAGAGTTATATAAGACACAGAAGCCAAACGTTTGTTCACGGCGTTTGACTATTTTTTTTTTTTTTTTAGGATACATGCAGTGTTAAATAGAACAGAACGACATTAGGTTTGCACATATAGGTTTGCAGTTATACGTTGCGATATTATGTGAGATACAGGGGCCTTAAGTTTGTATAAAGGGATTTTATTCGGTTACATTTATGATTACTATGATAAAAATGGCATTGGTGTATGAGCCCGATAAATAAGTTGTTTAAAAATATTGTTTAGTGTGTGAAAGTTTTGACCAGTAACCTCTTAGACAGGTACATCACCACTAGGTCAGTGGGGACTTTGGTACTTTTGTATTCTGTTAGAACGGGGAGGATTAACACTTGCACATCTCTGTTATGACCATGATGTGTTAGACTGGTAATTCTGTTAGGGCAACGAGGACTTAGACTGGTGCATCTATATTTGGGCAATATGAATATTATTTTGAGATGTTTAAGTATTATTTGTTTCAAGATATTTCAATTTCTGGACTGAAAAAAGGCATTCAATAAAGGGCATCAAAACACGTTTTGTTAAATATACATTTCAATCTATATGTCTACGTTTTCGAGCAGCAATGCACGTCTTGTTTCTTTATTAAAAAAATATATCTCGCCTGTGCGACCGGAGAACCAAAACAGGAAATTGGATTGCGTTTTTGTTTGTTTGGTTTTTGTTTGTTTGTTTTTTTTTTTTGTTTTGCCAAGGCGTACGCGATACAAATTCAAGAATCATTTGGTTTAGGGTGGGGCCTGCAAAATGAAAGGACAAGTCTGACAACAACACATCAAGGAATAAGAAGCCTAAATAACCACATTGATACGCCTTTCCCATCAATTACGTTTTTATGTAAATTTTAGGGAGCGCACATCATTCATCTTTATACATTTTTTATTTTTTTAAGCAGGCCGTATTGATAGAATTTTTCTTTTAGTCCACAATGAGTAATCAATCATTTTGTTTCTGTCTCGGAAGCGAATTTGTGACCTATGACACGTAGCTTTGTTTTACGGTCCAGCCTCTCTAAATACTGCCGTAAAACCCATAACAGCAGCTTGACTGCGTTTGTCTTCTAAGATATTTTTGAAAAAGACACATAATATAGTTGTACTTGGACACACGGACAAGTTTAGTACAGCGAAGTAAATACAGAAATATAGAGGATATATAGGGATAATAAATAAATATAGAAACATGACATGAACACACACATACATACATACATACATACATACATACATACATACATACATACATACATACATACATACATACATACATACATACATACATACATACATACATACATACATACATACACACACACATATATATATATATATATATATATATATATATATATATATATATATATATATATATATATATATATATATATATATATATATATATATATATATATATATATATATATATATATAATCATTTGTGTGGGATATTTTTCGAACGCAAACGGAAGATTGTGCCGTTTATTAACCATGCTGCTATATCAAAGCAAATTGCAGCAGGTTTATATAAATCTGGCTAACAACACATCATAAAAAATAATAAAACAGACTAATTCTAAAACGTGATAACTCCCTGGCTACCAAAATAGCTCGCGTTAAACAGAAGAGAGAATTTTACCATGGTAGCACGTGGAGTCTACATGGAGGCGTATTCTCCCTTATAAAAGTACGGTAACAATGCGAGTACTTCACTAAACGAACGACCGTCTTGTTACTTAGCAGGACTTAGTAAGAGATGCGTATATATTGATTTTAGCTTTATTCTAAGTAATCTTACAGCAATTTGCTTTAAAACAAATTACGCATGTAAAATTCATTTTTTTTATTTTGAGTGTGATTTATATGCAAATTAATTTGAGAAATATAGCTAAATATTAGTGTTTTATCATGTGGCGCATTGTACGTTGGGACAGAAGACATGGATAGTTTATAAAAAATAACAGTCAACGATTATATCTAATGACGAAGTGAAGCATGTTGCAGTTACATGTTATCTGACTTCGGATGACTGCTATTAAAAGATGAGGAGATACAGCCATATATGTCGCCTGAGGAATATGTAGATTTTTGTGACAAAGATAAAGTATTGCGTCCTCCTCCAGGCAAAAATAATGAGAATGTGTTCGATTCACTGGACGTTGTGAAGAAATCATGAAACTGCTCTGAAAATTATGTCATTTTGTGCAAAAATTACGATCATAGTCCTGTATTCCCTCCTCCCCTAGTTCCACTCAGTGACGAGTATGCCCCACCTTTCGCAACCCAGGACGTTCAGTCATGTAAATCAGTTGCCAGCGCTTTCACTCTCAGACTACGTGGACCACTTCTGCGCCCGAGTGGTTAGAGCGTTCGCCTCGAATGCGAGAGGTCGTGGGTTCGAACCCCGTCTGAGTCATACCCAAAAATGATACAAACAGCCATCTCGCTAGACTCTCTGCATCAGATTAGTGTTAGGACTGATCGGCATGGTGTCAGGATAATGTGACTGGATGGGACATCACGCTACATCTCGGGAGTCATGATGCCCAGTTCTGACATCACTATTAACTGCCACACAGCAGATATCGTAGCTATGTGACTGAAAGTTTTTAAAGCTGCGTTAGAAATCCAACACACACACACACATACACACACACACACGTACACGTGGATTGCTAGTAGTACAGACAGTAGAGGTACGCGGTATTTCCTGTATACCGAATTATATCTGTACGTTTTTGCTACACTTACCTATCAATATACATTTTCACTGTACCTATACATCGGTAATTTCCGTCAATAAAAAATGTAGGCTTAATTCATTTTACGATATTATTTATATTAACAGCGTGCTTTCATTATTTACGACAAAACGATTGTATCTTTCACAAATGAATGGTGTTTATGACAAATATAAAAATATTTATGATCTTTTAATCACACCTTTGATACGTGTCACTTATATCAACGCGATGGCCAAACGGAAGGATATTAAACATACTCCATCCTAATCCAACATTCGGAAACTTTCCTGATTTAAAAAGACACAAAACCAAAATTAAAACAAAATCATGTAATATTTTCATTATTTACTTGCATACGCGAATTTGTAAAGCATGTGTTCCTTTTAAATACCGCAAAATCATCAAATGATTTTCAGGAGAGCACTTGTTTCAGTCTGAAATTTATGTAATTTCTCAAGACCACTTCACATTTTCTCGTTTGATGAGTATACTAATTGACACCACTCTGATAAATATCTTCCATTCGTGTTGGTACCCAACTCAGTTTTCCGGTCTTGTATGTCAATAGTGTAGCTAGAAAATTGTAGGTATGAGCACTGCTGGGCGCGTCCACTAAAAGGAGTGGGGTCCAGAGTCCGGTGACTAATCTGTCTGTTGGACTATCCCGTACTGGGTATGAATATAAACACTTTCCTATTATTTTATCATTAGGCTCTCTAATGTCAGTACAATGTCTTCTACATTATTAGATATAGCGTGAACTTACTCACTCCTTTTTCTCATTTTAGATTGCACCTTATACGACAATTAGCATACACACAACAAATTAATCTACTGACAGGTAATGTCCATTTAATTTTCAGTGTGGGAGGCCATGCATTTTCTTTTGAGCTGAAATATTATATTTTCTTTTATCTCAAGTTAATTGACAATTTCGTTTCAAATAATATCATGGATATAACATGGTGTTATTTTGCTATAATTTACAGACAGAAATTGAATAAAAATGTGTCAGTCATCTGCCTTTAAACATTGAATTGTTTTGGTACAGTGAAATGTTAACAATAAGGCGGCAGACAAATGTTTCTTAGTGACCAGTTCTAATATGTATGGACCTGTGGGAGGATGGGTACGGACCTGTGAGTAGCATTGGTATGGACGTGTGAGCAGTATTGTATAAACCTTTGAGAAGAATGGGAAGTAAGTAGTATGAACTTGGACCGATGAATGGTAGAGGTATGGACCTGAGAATGGCATCAATAGGGACCTGAAAGTAGTATGGGTATGGACCTGTGAGTAGTATTGGTATGGACATTTGTGCAGTATTGGAACAGACATATGAATATTTATGGGTATGAGCATGTGAGTAAGTAATATGTGTAATGACCTGTGAATAGAATGGGTATGGACATGTGAGTAGTATGGGTATGGAAATGTGAGTAATATGGGTATGGATCTGTGAGCAGTAAAGGTATGCACCTGTGAGTGACAAAGGGTTGATTAACACATTACACCAACCCCTTCTCTATGGTTCGTTGCTAGGGAATGACCTCCCACGATGTAATTTACCTAGTTTGGATGGACAGAAATAATAATATAGATCTCTGAGCAAGTATATTAAAGAAATAAAACAATTAGCCACCTTAAAATGAATAAATATAAAATTTAATTAATTTAACAATATAATTCAACTGGAAAGAAATCAATTTTTGTTACTACAAAATGAAGAAAATGTACGAGCATATACTCAATAAAAGTAAATACAAACTTCACTTTTTCTATTAATTGGCAGTGACAGAAATAATACAGAGTTTCATCATAGCCTACGAGTCGTGACTTTGAGTTCAACGCTGAATGACATCATCTCCTATCTTTATCTAACATCCAATTTTCCGTTCCTTCCTGCCCTTCCAGCTTTTGTCTACTTGTCTTTGACTTCGACCCTTGCCAGTCGAAGCTTGAAACGATTTGACAATATTTTCTAGAACTGGAAATCGGCTGCGGAATTTTTATTGTGATGATTTGTTTCCAGGAGAAAATCGCTGAAGAAATTTGCTGAGGAAGCTGTTTCCGTAAATAAATAAAATGTCCAGAAATAGGTCACCCTTTTCCCCACTAGTGTATATATATATATATATATATATATATATATATATATATATATATATATAGATATATATATATATATATATATATATATATATATATATATATATATATATATATATATATAGTTCAATACAAACAATATTATCATACAAGTTAGAGAAATTAAATTCGTACTCTACGGGGTTTCGAACTCAGGTCCGCGAGCAAATTGCACCCATCGCCTTGCCTACACGCACCAGCCAATATAACGTCACGACTAAGCACGCATCACCAAAAAATGATGGCACTAAGTCGGTGTTATACGAGCTCTTGCGTCGAAACGACTCGCTCTCACACTAGTTCTGTTTACAAATAGAAGCCGCCATTACGTGTATGCTGACCTAAGCTAGTGGGAAATTATTACTTACCACTTTACGACTAGCACGTATGTGCCCGTATTTAAGACACCATGACTTCTTTACATTAAGCTATTTAATACAGTTTAGTGTTAAATTATATATGGCTTAGTCCATCCAATCTAGCTATTCTAAAATAGTCTACGTGATCAAATAAATATTACGAACAAGGATATGAATATACACTCAATGCATGGCATACTACGCAGATATTTAATTCATAAATGTACGCAACATTCATTACCCATCATGTATTAGGGTAAATTCATAAAATTCCTACGCATTCCTACGTATCGAATATATAATTATATGCAAGCTTGTCAATTCTCTCAATGAACTGATAATTAGAAAGTCAAAAAATAAAATTTCGTGACTAATATTTCACTAAAACCCTGACAAATGAAATCATCATATATACATCATAACATCAATACATTTGCAAATAAATCAACAAATGAAATAAATAGTATGTTTAAATCTGGTAACTAATATTGTGTACCTTTGCCGTTTATTCGTTTCCCCACGAACTTCTATTGTATAGTCTGTCTAGTTTCTGAGACAGCTATCTCGCCTTACTTCAGTCACGAGGCAACGTACTTCTTACGTTCGCCTCTGGAGTCCTGTCTGGCTTCTTTCAAGCAAGATCGAAGACTGAAGCAATTTTGCAAAATAAAACGGCTACTTTTCTACAAGGTTTACACCCTTAAGTTTCCATTAGCCAATCAAAGTTAACCAATTTATAAAATCTCCTACGTGGAATACCTGATTAACGAGAATATGCTAATCATGCCGCAATTAACTTTCCTTTGAACAATCAATTATTGACGTGCTTCCCTTTTAACCGGGGTTTCTTCCTCCACCAGCTATGCTAGTCGCCTTAAATAAGCAACTTATGGTATGCTAAAAAATGGCGTTGAAATCTAAATAACAGCACAAAAAACTCCTACAGTGTTCAATATTGGATGAGCATTGCCATTTATTCATTACTGAAACAAAACATTGTAAGAATTTTCATTTTTTAAATGGATGATACTAATCTTATTTCTGGCTATTAATGAATTAGTTGAACTCATCTAAGTTTCTTTACGCATTATAATCATTTTCATGATAAATTAGACCGATAATGCAAATGGTCTGATGAAGACAGTCTGACAGTCTGACAGTTCTGATAAGATGTCAGGATTGGCGCATACTAAATGTTAGATGAGTTGCAATAGTTACCAAAAAGATCTTTATATTTCAAAAATGTTGTTGCAGGCAGAACGAAATGGAAGAATTATAAGAAAAACATGCACTAAGGAAATGTTTCATGATGTCCTCACTTGTGAGAATTATAAAGGTCTAGTCAGTCCCATAGTATGACCTTTACATATATAACAATATATTATATGCTTGCTTGCTTGCTTCCTTTCACAGTCCTGGATAACTTAAGCATCATTTTTCTTCATTTCTGATTTTCATTTCCTTTTCATCTTTGAACCAGTTCAGATGTGAAATAGTTCTTTTGCCTTGTACATTGAATGAACACGTAACAAAGTAAATTGGCGAGATATAATTTCCTCTTAGAATCTAGAAACTGCATTGTTTATATTGAAGATCCATTGGACATAACAGTAACATCTTTTGCATCCCAGCAATCGTTTTTTTTTTTTTAAATAAACCGACAGTGCGAGCGAAAGCAAGGCGCTGAAAAGATCTCGCAAAGACAGTCAAAGCAAACGACAAACAAGGGTTATCAGGCGATTTTTCAAACTCTCTTTAGTATACAAAGGTATAGCTGAAAGGCATATTCCTGGAAAGCAAATATGCATGAAAAGAAAAAAGGATACATACATAAATACATACATACATACATACATACATACATACATACATACATACATACATACATACATACATACATACATACATACATACATACATGCATGCATGCATGCATGCATGCATGCATACATACATACATACATACATACATACATACATACATACATAGAACCTCTCTCTCTCTCTCTCTCTCTCTCTCTCTCTCTATATATATATATATATATATATATATATATATATATATATATATATATATATATATATCTTCCTTTCGATAGTATTTTGTCAATAAGTGAGAAAAATAATTATAATTAGCATTCGATTTATAAGACATTTTCCTGTGC